AGGAAAAGCACTGAGCTGGAAACTGGACTGAAGGGACATTTTGGCTCCTCCACTAATATGACTTTCAAACCCCACCTCCACTTGCTACCCCAGTTTGTTTCTTTAAAACCAGAACAGCATATGGGAGCATTGCAAGGCTCTGGTTCATTCATGGCTTTTAGGGGATCTCTCTATGAAACACTGCAGTTGAAATGCAAGATTAGATCTAATCTTTCAGAAACCTTCCTTTTTTTTCTGCCTCCCACGAGGGACTGATGATTTCTGTTAAAATCTCTTCTTTTTTGTTGCCTTTAAGGAAGGCAGCAGCATGTGCCAGGCCTCCCCTCAGTCAGGGAAAATGAATCTCATGCTGGATAAACCTAATTTCATTTTAATTTGAGGTATAGCTGAATCTATCTTCTGCAATTGCTTTCCTCACCCAGGAATCACTCACACTTGAAGCATATTTCTCAGGGGCAACGAGTAACCAGCCATGACCTCAAATAGGAGTAAATGAATGGGAAAGACTAATTAAAAGATGTCAAGGGCTCTGAATCTCCAGTCTCACTTGGTTCTGGTGCATCGCTGCTCTTGGTGGGAGGAGACAGGCAGAGTTACTTTTGAAAGCCCAGCACTAAACATCTGCTGGTGTATTGCTTGACCTGGCAGTGAATCCTCCATCCCCTGTGCTTTATCTCCCACCCCATCCAACAGCTTGACAGGTGACTTTGTTGCTCTCAAGGTATGATGAGGAGCTTTGTAAGCTACTGCCTGGACACACACAGAGGAAGAAAATGATGAGTGTTTTATTAAAATATTGTACTTTCAGGTTATGGGCTAAATTATGGAAGTGTTTTTCAGGAAAATGAAATGTGCAGAACAGAACACATCAGGTCAGGTGAAACATGAAAATTCTAACAATGAATTTGAACTTCATCTGTATTGGAAAAAACCCTAATACTATCATGGAGGGCAAATTACATTAAGAGCATTTTCTGGATGAAGATTCTAGCTGAGCTGAGGTGTTGAGACACACCTGTTCTTTGAAGTAAAAGGCTTTTCAATTCCTATCTTTCATTTTTTTTTCCTTAAGATCAAAGTAGGTAACGTTGCATAGTGGCACTGGAGGAAGGTGACAGTTCATGTACTGCTGGGCCCTCTTCCTGCCCTGATGTGACTGTGCAGGGCACAATGCCCCAGGTGCTCCTCAAAAGAGGAGAGATGTCTGTGACCACTAAAACCTGGTGTGCAGATCTGGTTGTGTTCTGTTCTCCTCTCTGCCCCAGCAGGAGAGGGGGAGCTCATGGCTGCTGGAGGATGCATGAGCAGTTTGAAAACACAAAACTCATGAATTAAACAAACCAAACTTCAAAGTTGCTGCCGGGCCACATTCTTGGCTGTTGTTGCCCTACTCTCAAGTAAAACAAGTGCTTAATTCTGAAGCTCTAGAAGAATTCCTGTTGCTTTTCTGCAAGGTGGTCTTTGATGAGTGGTGGTGAGCTTATGTTTGAAATAAATGCTACATAGTGCATATTTAATTTCCTAACTGCAATCCAGCAGGCAGATGTGTAATTACAGACAAAGTAAATATGTAATTATGGGCTGCTGGGAAATGTGTATTATTTACTTGGTAAGTGATAAAGGTCCTTCCAGATGCTTGACAGTGTGTTGTCATGGGGTCTGTTCAGAAGATTGTCCATGAAAGGGTCACTGGTCATATTAATTCTAACAGCCACTTGGATTCAGGACTGTGTTTTAGTGATCTAACTGCAAGTGGATCTTGTGCCTCCAGAAGCCTGGTGCAAAAGTATTTGGGGTTGGGAGGAAAAGAAGACTTCTCTTGGATATAAAATAATGGGTGTGATAATACAAAATAATTAATCATATAAGATATGTCATATATGGCATGAATACTCTGGCTCTGCTAAAGAACTGAATGAATATTTGTTATTGGTCTGGTATTCAGGTTTTGCAGTGGCCTGGAGCTGCAGTAGTGCACACCCTGCCAGGTCTGTGGAATAGAAAGTTAACCCTGGCCAATCCTGCACTGGGGGTTACCATATGGTGACCCTTTGGGTGCTCTGTGCCCCTTTGGCCCTTCCTGAAAGGGCACAGAAAAGGTAGTGACAAAGGAAAACCGAGTGTATAAAACAGGAGCAAGGAGTTAAACTACTGCTCTTGAGACAGAAGACGAGGGATGAGGATAATGCTGCAGGGAGGATGAACAAGGAATGGTCGTTGCTTGCCAGCCAAAGCTGGAGCATGGGTTGTCTGGTTGGGCCACTTCTCCAATGTAAAAGTGAACTTCAGGGTGTTGTGGAGATGAAAAACTGCCACGACTCTAAATGGGAATGGTCGTTGCTTGCCAGCCAAAGACATGGGTTGTCTGGTTAGGCTACTTCTCCAATGTAAAACTGAACTTCAGGGTTTTGTGGAGATGAAAAACTGCCACGACTCTAAAAAGCCATTAGACAAATATCTAATCAGATATTAGATCACAACAATCTCCCAAATGTTACAGGCAGGTTTGCCAGCTCCAGTGGGGTGGATGTGCTGGGTTTGGCTGTGTTGCCTCCTTGCCCTACCTCTCTATTCTCTGGGTGTCCTTGGAGCTGTTTGAGACAAAAAACAGCTTGGTACTTCTCCAGTTTGAGTCAGGATGCCTGTTCTGTAAGATGTTGTGCAGGTGTGTGTAGGAACCTTAAATACAAGTATTATGGAACCTGGAGCACTTACTCTGAGAGATGGAATGGTATGGAAATCATTTGGCTATTTAAGAACATCTGGGCAAACCATCTCCTTCCTGCTCCCATTCTCATTAACCAGGATCCAAATGTCAGCTGAGACAGAGAGAACCAATTCTTTGTCTGAGGACCAGCCTCATAAAATTTCTTCTTTACATTTATTTTAGCCAGAAATGTCTTCTTTTTTTTTTTTTTAAAAAAAAAGCTATTTCAATTAAAGCCAGCTGCACCAGCAGTGTCTGCAGAGGGTTATTTGTGCTGTTTGAGGCTGCTGGGGCTGTTCTTGGGAGAAGTGTTATGACTCAGAAGTATCTCATTGATAAATAGTAACTAGGCATACTTTAAGACTTGGGGGTTTTCAGACTTTAAGAAGTGGTTCATTTTCTTGGCTCATATCTTTATTGTACTTGCTCAGACATGACTTTTTTTTTAACAGAAGTTTCCCTTTCATCCGTCTAATCTGCAAAATAGGGCCTGAAAATCCTGTGACACAAAATGACTGAGAACAACAGATGCTCAGTGTCCTTTGCAAATCAGAGCCACGGGTTTTAGGGACAAGCTGTACAAAGGCTTTAGAGCAGAAATCAATGTGCTGCTGCAGGACTGGAGTGGTAGGAAAAGCTCCTCAAGATAATCTGACTGGGAATGTACATTTCTGACAATACATCAACATGATGTTATTGAACTGAGAGCTCTTTTTGCTTGTCTTCTCATACTTCATGGAAGTCACTGAGTAGAATGATGCATGAGAAAAGATGCAGTAGGTCTCAAGCACAGAACTCCACATTGTTAAAGTGAAGTAGAGGAGTAGTTTCTTGGCAGAAAGCATCTGTCAAAGCATGACATGCTCAGTGCTCTTATGAGCTGTGTTTTGTTCACCCTGTAGGTCTCTGAATGTAGCTGGCCAGTACGACAAGCCCCCAGTCTGCACAACCTCTACGCTGTCTGCAAGAACATGCACAACTGGCTACAGCAGAACCCCAAAAACGTGTGTGTCATCCACTGCATGGTGAGTGCACCAGAAGGTAACCACATCTTCAGACCCACAGGTTGAGTTGTTTTGTACACTGCATGTCCAGAGGCTGTGTACATGGGTGGGGATAATTTCTAACAGGAAAATAAGCGAAACAAAGTGGACCCCCCCCGAAAGGAGCTTCATCTGCCATGTGCAGCTACCTAGGATCAAGCACAGAATGCCAGGCTGGAAGGGACCTCAAGGTTCACCTGCCCCAACCTTTCTAGGTAGGAACACTGTTTAGATGAGATGGCCCAGCACCCTGTCAAGCTGAGCCTGAAAAGTGTCCAGTGTTGGGGAATCCACCACTTCCCTGGAAAGATTATTCCAATGTCCCACTGTTCTCATAGTGAAAAACTTTCTTCTAGTGTCCAGTTGGGATCTCCACAGGAGTAACTTGCACCCATTACTCCTTGTCTTTTCCATGGGTAAAAAAGGGAGTCTCCATCTTCTTGATAGTCACCTCTAAGTACTGGAACATAGCCATAAGATCTCCCCTGAGCCTTCTTTTCTCCAGGTTGAACAAAGCCTGTTCTCTCAGCTTTCATACAGTAGGCTCCTCAGTTCTTTGGAGAAAAGAAGACTGAAGGGCGGGATCTCATCAGCGCTTATCAATATCCCCAGAGGGTGTCAGGAGGGTGGGGACAGACTCTTTTCTGCAGTGTCCAGTGACAGGACAAGGGTTAATGGGCAGAAGCTGGAGCACAGAAGGTTCAAGTTAAACATAAGGAAAGACTTCTTTATTGTGAGGGTGACAGCCCTGGAACAATCTTCCCAGGGAGGTTGTGGAGTCTCCTTCTCTGGAGAAATTCCAAACCCATCTGGACCTGTTCTTGTGTGATCCTGCTCTAACAGGGAGGCTGGACTAGATGGTCTTCAGAGGTGTCTTCCAACACTAATGACTCTATGACTTTGGTCATAGCTAAGTTGGAAGAGCTGACACTGAATGAGAAGCAGGAAAGCAAAGCAAGAGAGGTCACAATTGTTCCAGCAGTGAACTACTAGATATAATGCATAGTAAAAAGGCTTGAACTCCACCTGAGAACTGAATGTGAGGGCTGCCAGCCTGCTGTGGCTTTGTTTTCTTGTAAGTAGTAGCAGGACAAAACACAGCCTCTAGACC